CTCTCATTGTGTTTGTAGTAAGTTGGAAGCTTTGTTTCCATTGTACAAATTTGGAGGAACATATTCAATAATAAAGCTGAGCTCTGGCTTCTTTCTCTGCTGCCTTCATTTGTTTTTTTGTGACTCTACTGTCACCTGAATCATAGGTACACAATGAAATCCCTTAGTTTTTGTTTAGCTCTACATGGTCGATTTATGAAGTTATTTGAATACCCTTGAAACGTGATTCTGCTGCTACTTTTGTTTTTGAATTTTGGTGCTTTCATTTGCTTAGTATGCTATCCTTGGCCAATTTTTTATTGTTTTTCTTTCTTTCATTTTTTATATCTGTTTTGAGCTTCAATGTTTTATTTTGTCTTTGGCTCTTTGATAGAAATCAGTCATTGGTTGGGTTTGTGTTAGAATCTGTATTTTAATTTAATGGATTGTAGCTAATGTTGAGAGAGGCATCTATATAATAAACTCTAGATCTAGATTATAGTAATATTTTGTTCTCTTTCTTAGTTGGATGTTTGTTAGTCTACAATGATGATGGGAAAGGGGTGTGTACCACCGTTGGCTATTTTTAAACTATAATGGAAATTTTCTTTTTGATGTGATCGGTATAACTAACAAAGCATGAATCACTTACTATTATTATAGTTAAAGTTTTGCAATGACATTGAGTAGTCGTGCGTATTTGCCATTGTTTATGTGAGGTTGTATTCATTAATTTCACAATGCAAAGCTTGCAGAAGCATAACAATTCCATGTATAAAAAAAAATTAACGATTGAAGCATATGGGCTCCATTACGTGAAATCCATCGTTATATTTTAAGTAGCAATTTGCATATTTTTGTCCCAAATTGAGTTCCATGATTTTGGCTTCCACGCTTGACGTAGGAAAATAAACAACTTACAAATATTTGTAGTTTACTTTTGACGCGATTAATAACAGATTATTGTGGCCATGGGTACGGCTCCCGTAGCATGGTTATGATACGTAAATCTCAATTGAGGTGTGTCATGCCAAATAAAATCTCAAAACCCATGGCCCTCATCTAATTAATTTTAACCCTTTAGAAATCGAGGTGTGCCATTTAGTTGAATTTTTCATGGCCCTCGCACACTTGAAAGTGCGTAGTTGCTTTAGGCGCGTAATTTAAATTAATTTTCTTAAACTCGGGTGTGCATTTCATGTGATCCAAATCCAAATTTCAACAACGTTAAACAAAATGTGTCTCGGACTGCGGGTGCATTTCATGTGGCGTGGTCCAAAGACGCATTTTAGATGACGTTGAAATCTTCTTGAAATTAATTAAAAGCGGTAAATTGTTTAAAATATACCATAGGCTAAAACATGTATTAAAATCAGATAATAGGGCAATTGTGATAGTTTAAGCAATCGTGCTAGAACCACGGAATCTGAGGGTGCCTAACACCTTCCCTCGGGTTAACAGAATTCCTTACTTAGAATTTCTGGTTCGTAGACTTCACAAGGAAAGTCGAATCTTCCTCGATTTGGGATTTAAAAATAAACCGGTGACTTGGGACACCAGAAAACAAACCATCCCAAGTGGCGACTCTGAATTTTAATAAATAATCTCATTTCGAATAATGTCACTTAAAGTGGAAAAACTCCCTTGTACTACCTTCGGGTGTGTAAAAAGGAGGTGTAACAAATATATTTGGACTTGTTTGTATGATTGAACGAGGTCTTGCGGGCCTCGAGTGTGATTTGGGGTGGTTACAGACCATTTTGGTGAAGTTTGGAGTTGCTGCTTTTCAGCAGGTGCTTGTGTTCTTCGAGTTCGTGTGTTTGCAATGCGTGTTATGGGGTGCTGGTCTGTTTCGCTTAGCATTTGTGGGAGGAAGTTGCGTTTGTGTAGTTGTGTTTCCAGGTTTATCGTGTTCGCGTAGAGCTAGATCTGGCAAGGGAGATTTTGCCTTCGCATTTGCGATGTAGCTCACGTTTGCGAAGGAGGAGTTCTATTAGCTATCACGAACGCGAGAGTCAGGATTTGTGCGTGAAGGAGGATTTTGGTCAGAGGCAGCTTTGTGCTATGCGAACGCGAGACTTCTTCTTAGTGTGCGAAGGGTACTGTTGGGCAGTGTATTTAAGTTGTCATTTTGGGGACTTGAGCTCATTTTATCATATTTTGAGATTGAGAGCTCGGACTGAGGCGATTTTCACCCATTTGGATTGGGTAATTGTTCTTGACTTGGATTTAATATTATTCATGATTATACTTTTGATTTTGATATTCAATTGGTGAATCTAAGAGAAAAAATATGGGGGTGGGGGGGATTGGAAAAACTTTTCTAAAGTGAAAAATGAAGTTTTTAACCCAGATTTTGAGTTAATTTTGGATGAAACTTGTATTGGATTGTGTGTTCGGAATTTATGAGTTTCGTTTGGTTCCACGGTGCGTACTCGTATTGACTTTTTGGTGGACTTTGTGTATCTGTATAAAGATTGGAACTTTATTATTTCGGGTTATTTCCTATGGCTTTGTTTGATGTAATTGAGTTATTTTTTGCTAGATTCCAGCCATTCGAAGGTTGATTCCCGTGGGAAGTCATTTTTAGGGTATTGATTTGGCTTGTTTGAGGTAAGTGTCTTGCATAACTTTGGTTGGAGAATTTTTCTTAATATTTGTATTGTTTGCTACATGTGGGGCTGATGTATATACAAGATAACGAACATATATACAAGTGTCATGGGTATTCATGCTCGAGGTAGATTCTAGATTACTCTATGCCTTATTTAGTTATGTGTTCTACCTGATTCTACGTGTTACTCAATTGATTAATTACGTGAGTACAATAAGCTGGTGCTAGAGCAATATTGAGGCGATTGGTACCTTATCTTGAACATGATGAGAAAATCTTGGGATTATGCTAGTTTGCCTTTGACGTATTTATATGCATGTTATTAACACACATCCGTACTTGTTCTTGTGTTGTGCCTTGATTTGGACATTTGCACTTTGTGACACATATGTGATCCTTTGTATGACTACTTGAACTTGGTTGCTATAATTGATTTAGCCATAGTCATGCCTTATATGTTGAACACTCATCCGTATTTTATTATTGTCATGTCCTTGTGTATCTTGTTGATAAAATTATGGGCTTATATGTTTGATGAAAATTTGGCACATTACTTTGTGATGATTATGGCACACGTGAATATGTTGGGCGGATTCATTGGGTGTTGGCACGAGATATTTTTCATACAATTGTTGTTGTTGTTGTTATTATTATTATTGTTGTTTTTATTATTATTATTATTATTATTATTATTATTATTATTATTATTATTATTATTATTATTATTATTATTATTATTATTATGCGCATGAGGCGAAATAACGTGGCGTGTCCCGGGCTTGCTCATGTGGCGAATTAAGGGTGATGATATGCGCATGTGGCGAAATAAGGGTGACATTATTGATATTGCACATGCGGCGAAATAATGGCGACATTATTGATAATGTTATATGATAGTTTGAGGGTGATTCTCTTGATGTTTATGTGGTGGTACTAGAGTGACATTCTTGATTGTGCAAGTGAATTCTTATGCTTTGTCATGCATTTTACATATTTTCTTTTGTTACAGCTAACATGCTATCCTATGCTCCCGTTATATTTGATGATTTGGTTGTCAAGATGAATTTACCTATGTGGAGTTAATATCTCACGTTTTGTTGAGTTGTCGGTAGCGTATCAGATTTACGTGATAAGTAAATTGTCATCATGCATTTATATTGAATTCTTGAAAGGTTCTCTTGAATGTGTTATTTGGCAATTGATACGAAATTAGTTCATGTTGGGCACATGTTTACAGTTATGTATGAGCATTGAGCATACACATTATATGATACATACCCCTTTGTGAGCATGATTGGTGCAAGTTATATTTGTTGAACATGTCTAATTGATAAAATTTATTTATTACCCTCTCTCCTAGTTGTGCACCTTTACGATAGATATTCTTATTTCTGTAATTTCCTTTTTGGAATATTTTCTCGGTATTATATATGTTACCGGTTCTGCAAAATGAGTATTTTTTGACTTAAAAACATCGTCACTATTTCTCCGAAGTTAGTCATGATACTTACTGAGTACGTGAGGTCAGAGGCGGATTTAGGATTTGTTGAACATGGGTGCACCACTAAAAAAAATAAATAAATATATTAAGTGGGAATTGATCCATGTTCCTCTAGGTTAATAATCCAATATTAAACCAAGTGCACCATTTAGTCTTTTTGGAACATGGGTGCCAAAACATAATATTAGTAAATTCTAGAAAATACGTGCATAAAATATCTAGTTTGGTGGAAAGACCATGAGTTCACGTGCCCCATGATTTGGGTTATACATCCACCCCTGCATGAGGTCGGTTATACTCATATTACACTTATGCACCTTGTATGCAGATTCTGGAGCTGAGTAGCTGTGGGAGACATATCGGCGTACCGGATTCATGCTATCTTTCGTTCATGGTAGCTTAGGACTTTATTTATGTTTATGTAAACTTCAAACAGATATTACAAACATTCTTCATAAATTGCTTTGTGAATCTAATCTTAATGGCTCATGACTTGTACTATCAATCCTTGAGATAGTTGTATTGAATGCTGTTGCAGTCTTTATTATTAATATTAATAATTTCTCATTATAGTTGTAGCTTATGCTGTTTGACTTGCTTAACGAGTTGAGTTAGGTGTCATCACGATTTAGTGGGATTTCGGATTGTGACAATTGAAAGATAATTAGATAGGTTTATACAATGCAAAAATATTAAACAGGTGTAATTTACTAACACCGAATCCAAAATGAGCATAGGCTGAAATTTTGACCTTTTTGTTCCAACACTTTATCAACAAAAATATCTTCCACTCGAAAAATATCCCCGAGTAAGTCCATTAAATCGGACGGTAAGCGTTCAATCTCACGTACATCCATCCAACGGCCATCAACTCTTCCACTCCTATAAAACCTCAAACCCTAAACCTTTTCTCCTCCTCTTTCCTCTCCTGCTTCTGCACTTAACTGCCACAAGCGTTTTCAGCAGGAGAGCATTCCCCTCACATCCATACAAAGAAACGCACCAACCCATTATCTATCATGCCTGCACTTGCTGTAACTGAAACAATGGTCTCCGAAGTATCCCAGAAGAAAATGAAGAAGACCCCCAAATCTCCCGCCGACACCCATGATTTAGAAACTCCTGCTGATAAGAAAAGCAAAGAAAAAAAGTCGAAAAAGACCAAGATTGATTCTGGGTCTGATTCAGAGGAGCTGAAGAAGAGCAAAAAGAAAGAGAAAAAGCGAAAAGCTTTGGACTTTGATGATGAGGAAGAGCAGAAGAGTGAAACGAGCTCCGAGATATGCGAGCCGATAGATGAGAAGAATAGGAAGAAGAATAAGAACGCTAAATTGGAGGAGGAAGAAGTGGTTGTTGAGAAGAAAGTGGAGGATCCTAATGTGTTGTCTAATTTTAGGATTTCAAAGCCTTTAAGAGAGGCTTTGAATGCTAAAGGAATAGAAGCACTTTTCCCTATTCAAGCTATGACTTTTGATGATATTCTTGATGGGTCGGATTTGGTTGGACGAGCTCGTACTGGTCAGGTATAAATTCAGCTCTTTATTGTATCAATTCATGCATATTTACTTGCCCTGTGAATATTTAAGGTGGTGTTATTTGCTGGTTTGGTTATGGTTCATGCATGTTAATATTGGCATGACATGAGCTTAAATGGTCAGTGTTGATTTATATAGCCTACCCCTATTTGTTTGGGGACTTAGGTATAGTAGTAATAGTTTTTGTTGTTGTAATTGTTGGTTTAGCTTGCGTTATTACGCATAATTGATTTACAACATAGCTAATGTTTGTAAATTCATGATAAACTGGGATTTTGTACCAATCCAGCACTATCTCTTGTCCTGGGGTTGCTGGTTCTTTGTGGCTTTCATTCTTGTGATATCCACGAAATATATATACCTAGGCGTAGCTGGTTTTTCCTGTTATTTTCATCCTATAATATAAGGACTAAAATGTTTACTAAGCTTGGTAGAGACTTATCAACATCAGTCGCCAAGTTTTGTACGGTTTTATTTTCGCACTTCTATTTCCTACCAACAGATACCATATTTCTTACTGTAATGTCTACTAGGAAAAGGCCTAGAGTCTGCTAAATTGCTTATAAAGGTTCGTTGGTCTATCTGCCGCTAGAGATGTATGGGTATCCCTTGTGAGAAGTTTATTTCTGGATTGTGTTTATTGGTTATACACATGAAACCTTTTGATGAAAAGTTTATGTGTCAATTGTGAGCTGCCTGTTTCCTACTATAAATTATTTGTTCATCAAGAATTTAAGCTAAATGGAAAGAGTGAACTTTAGTCCGCATGTTATGAACGTTAATGGTAAATTGATTTTCCTATTGCTTTCACAGGCCACAGCTGCTAGAAATTTCATGATAGTGCTTTTGACTATTTTGGTTAACTAGATTGTACAGCAGAAAATGACTTCAAATTTTTCTGTATTTGCAGGGTAAAACACTGGCATTTGTTTTGCCCATATTAGAGTCCCTAACAAATGGTCCTACTAAAGCATTGCGAAAAACAGGATATGGGAAGGCTCCAAGTGTTCTGGTGCTTTTACCTACTAGGGAATTGGCACTTCAGGTATATATTATCAGCCTTCTCTAGGTGGTTGCTTCGTTGAGTATAAACAAATGGGATCTCATTTTCTCACAAATAGCATCACATTAATCTGTTAATTGTAGGTGTTTGCGGACTTTGAAGTTTATGGCCGGGCTATGGGGCTCACTTCATGCTGTTTGTATGGAAATTCTCCCATGGGAGCACAACAGGTTCAACTAAAAAGAGGAGTTGATATTGTAGTTGGTACTCCCGGAAGAATTAAGGTAGTGTTTGCTGGTTTACAGGATGAATTTATTCACTATTGTGGAGTGAAAATTAACTCCTTCAAATATTTGCTGCAGGACCACATTGAAAGGGGAAATCTTGATTTCAGGTCTTTAAAGTTTCGTGTTCTTGATGAAGTCGATGAAATGTTAAAAATTGGTTTTGTAGATGATGTCGAACTTATTTTAGGTATGGTATGAGCAGCAGTTCATTGCTATCTGGTTTCACCTCTCCATATTTGTATCATGCTGTTATCGATGTTAGGATGAAATTCTGACAGCTGAAATGTGCCAGTGCCTTACTGTTCTGTTGAGGGATTTTCTATTTTATGGTTATTGACAGTGTTATGCTTTTCTGTATGTTTTGTTCCTGTGTTATCCAAAGGCAAGGTTGAAGATGCAAGCCAAGTTCAAACAATTCTTTTCAGTGCCACTTTGCCAGACTGGGTGAAGCATGTACGTTCATTATATCTTTTGTTTTTGAATTCATAGTACAGTGCATTATTGGGGAATATTTCATGCCCTTTCGTTTATATATCAGTTAAATTGTTCTCTGCCCCAATCCCTGGTAAACGGACCACCTTGAAATTGAGGATTAGAGTGGGGTGGTGGCATGTACAACTGCTGTGCTCTGAGCTTAGACTTCTTTCTCTCTCTAATAATCTTTTCTCTTACTGAAACATGTTTTTGGTGTCAGATTGCTTCTAAGTTTCTGAAACCTGATAAGAAAACGGTTGACCTTGTTGGTAATGAGAAAATGAAGGCCAGTAAAAATGTGAGGCATATTATTATTCCATGCTCTAGTTCTGCAAGATCTCAGCTGATTCCTGATATCATTCGGTGCTACAGCAGGTAGGTTGCTTCTTATTTTCCAGTATCTTCCAGTTAAAGCATGATAATGAACCTCTGAAATGATTATAAATCTTTTGTTCCATGAAAACTTAGTGGAGGCCGCACTATAATTTTTACTGAGACAAGGGGGTATGCTTCAGAGCTAGCTGGCTTGTTGCCTGGGGCAAGTGCTTTGCATGGGGAGATACAACAGTCACAGCGTGAGGTATAATTTTGCTGATATACATGTTTCATTTTAGTATGCTCTCTTCATCCCCCCCGCCCTCTTCCCCTTTTCCTTTTGGGTTCTCCCCTTCTGTTTTGAGGGATGGCAATTCCTTAGAATTAACCACCTTAGAATGTTGATTATACGCATATGAAATAGGCAGTATTTGTCATCAACCTTCCAGGCTCATTGACAAATTGATACTTATGGTGTGAGTGTCTCCTTTGACAACCTTCGAGACTTATTATCACATGTTGTTCTCAGGTTACACTTAAAGGATTCAGATCAGGAAAATTCATGACATTAGTGGCCACAAATGTGGCTGCCCGTGGATTGGATATTGACAATGTTCAGTTAATCATCCAGGTTTGTTACCACATTCATGTTCCATGCTTGATTCTTAAACTTTATTGGTATTTGAATGCTGAATGTGATATTTCTGTTCAGTGCGAAGCGACTAGTGATGTTGAAGCATATATTCATCGATCTGGGAGGACAGGACGGGCAGGTGAGCTTCTGATGTTGGGAATTGCTTGTTTTAGCTTACATAAATTAGGGGAGCATACTTACTAGCTTTATTTTTCCTGTCACATTCCAGGAAATACTGGTGTTGCTGTACTTCTGTATGATCCAAGGAAGTCCAACATCTCTAGAATTGAAAGAGAATCTGGTGTGAAGTTTGAGCATTTGTCTGCTCCACAGCCAGCTGATGTTGCTAAAGCAGCTGGGAAAGAAGCTGCTGATATAATTGCTGAAATCTCCGATAGGTATGATTTTCATTTGTACCTGGTGAATTTTAAATGTATCATTTCATTTATTTTTTCCCAAATCTCTGTAGTGTCATACCCGCATTTAAGGCTGCTGCGGAGGAGCTTCTGAATACTTCCGACCTATCACCAGCAGAGTTGCTTGCGAAAGCTCTTGCCAAGGCTGCTGTATGTTTCTGTTGTTTCTATTTGTTCTCTCTGGAGGCAAACCTGATCTTAGACTAACTTGTGACTTGCTTTTCCAGGGGTATTCTGAGATCAAGACTCGGTCGCTTCTTACTTCTATGGAGAACTGTGTTACTCTGCTTCTTGAGTGTGGGAGGCCCATATTCTCACCTTCGTAAGTATTTAAAATATAAAAGATATTGTTTCTCGACTTACAACTATTTTGTAAGTAGCCTTTGAATGTCGTATTTTCATCATTATCTATTTGTTGTGCACTTCAATGCCTCAAATTGTGATTTTGTTGCTGAATGTGACTTTCATTTTTAGTCTTATGCATATGCACAAGAAAACTTAAAACACATCTTTTTAGCCGCAAGCAAGGATGTAGGCAAGGGAACTGTGAATGTTCATACTTCCACATCAGTGTTTCTACCCATTTATATGAAAATGAATGTTGATAAATGAATTTCTCATTGTCCACTAAATGGGTTCATGAACGAGAGTTTCTCATTGTCCGCAATTGGAAGTAGTGAATTACATCACATGTTTACAGCATCTTGCATCAGAGATTTCGTTGTGCTAAGCAGTGCTCTTAATTTACATGAAACCTAAGTTTGTCAAAGGATTTAGCTTATGACCTACATTTGTTTCTTTTTCACGAGATATATATGATGAAGCTGGTTGCTATAGCAGAGCTTTATTAACTGGTTCAGTCCAATGATTTTCTAATCTTTTTTACTATCATATCATTGGCAGCTTTGTCTATAGTGTCTTGAGGAGGTTCCTACCTGGGGAGAAGGTTGAATCAATCAACGGTCTTACTTTGACGGCCGATGGAAAGGGGGCAGTTTTTGATGTATCTGCTGAGGACTTGGACCAATTTCTTGCAGGTATATTTCTCCATTTTCCTGTAGCTGATCTACCCATGGACATATATAATCACCCAACTATTGTAATACAGAATTTTTAAAATTAATTTCAGTCATTAGATGGGTTGTAGCTTTTCTAACTTCCTCTTCTTTGCTCTCTCTTTTCCTGCGGGGTTGATGGGTTTTGCAGGCCAAAAAACTGCACATGGCGTAAATTTAGAGGTAGTGGAAGCGTTGCCTCAGTTGCAAGAGAGAGAGAAGCCAAGAGGTGGAAGATTTGGAGGTGGTGGTCGTGGTGGCTTCTCTAACAGAAGAGGCGGAGGTGGCTTTTCTGGAGGAAGAGGGGGAAGAGGTAATGGTAACTTTGGTCGCAGATGGTAAGGAATGAATGCTGACACAATTTTTTTGACAGCTGACAATACAAGATTTTGTCCAGTTGCATTCAAAATTTTGGTATAGCGAAGAAAATGTAATCAGATTTCATTAAGGTTTCTTGCTATGTATTAATTAAATTTATATAGGTTTCGCCTCCCTGTACCTCTGCTTCATTCAGTTTTTCGCTTGTTGGTTGGACATTTCAAGTTATTGGATGACCATTTAGTTTTGCGTGTATTTGGTTTTTTTATTACCTGCAGAAAGCAGATGAAATTTAAATTTTTGGACGAAAGTTCATTTATGATACACATAATTTAGATTTTATTTGTGTCCAAACAGAAGTAAATCAGGTTGAGGGTATAAAATTGGGATGTTTGATTCTACCACCAGTCTCGTTTTCTTACATGGGTAGAATCAAATTGGTAGGGAAGGGAAAAAAAATGAGAATGGACTCGGACCAACTTACCATAATTGATGGTGTTTAAATTTTCCTACTATATAGAAGAGCGCAGAAGCAGCACACCATTGACATCCCTGCTTAGACACGGGTATTTAAGTATTTTCACATACCTTCTGTGTTCCCAGCTGCATATGAGATGAGAATGCATCTACAGATACTTCTTCTTTTCCATGGAATTTCATTTGGCTTTACTATGCTCCATCATCTGTTCCCCTGACCTTCTGTTATCTCAGATACTTATCGACTTTTATTTGCGGGTTTTTATTTTGTTAATATCAGTATTTTTACCGAGGTCAGTATTCTCCTTCAGTTGTCGATTCTCTTCGCAAGTTATTTTTTGCTCAATAACAATACTTCTACTGAGATTTTCACTGTACTTCCTTTTCTTTTTGTTTGCTTTGCTTCTTCCTTTATCAGTGGTATTTAGTTAAAATTTTGATTACAAAGGGGGTAACGTTTTATGAATTGGTATGGGTCTCTTTATTTGTGTCCATCTGACTAATTTGTGATGCTAATAATTTCATGTTTTCTTCATTAATGGTATCTTGAGTTTACATTGGTAGCAGCGGAATTTTTTTTAAAGATTGTTCGAACTCTAAGTTGTTCCACAGATAAGAAGCTAAATTTTTTTACATTCTTGAGGAAATAGCACACCATGAGAAAATTCATTAGAACAACTCTCGAATTAGGTTTTCCATTGTTTGGTTACCTTCTGTTAATGACTCTAGCGGAAAAATAAATGATAAAACACAATTTGTTAATAGTGAAAGGAGAGGGAAACAGATAGATCTACTTTGATTAAAGGTGAAGGGATGGCGAGATGACAAAATCAGTAGGTGGGCTTGATCAGGTGGCCTTGAAACCTCAAAGCATAACCAAAGATTTGAAGATTATAGGTTCGATGAGTCACGAAACAACATTGACTATTTATGTTATTGGGTTCAGAATTCAATATTTATATATATTTAAGAGATATTTTAATACATATACGAGGTTCAACCAAAAGCTACTAGGTTCGACCGAATCCATAGCTTATATCCTGCCCTGCACTCGAGATCTCACAATGCATTTAAAGAGAACCAACAAGTTTTGTGTCAATTTCATTAGTTAGAAGCTACATAGGTTAATTTAAGCTCCAATACTGCAAGGAGACAAATCATGAAGGAATTACAAATACACATAATTAAGCACTAGAACATGACTTTCTAGCAGGAAGTATTAATTTCTGAGTGCAATCAGAAATGGAAAGCTTTTTAAAGCAATTAGTTTCAGGTTTCATTTTATAACTTCCTTCTATCCATTTCTTCAAGTTGTGTATTAATTTTCTCCTTTTGGAATGACCATTTGAATGACCTCTATTAATATGGGACTTAAGTAGGTCCCGCAGATGAACTCCTCCTCATGATTAAGTCATTTACTTCTGGTACAAATTCTGTGACAATTTCTGTATATTCTTCTCCCAAATTCAATTCTTGATCTTGGTTTTTCTCTTGTTCTATTTGTTCTTCATTCCTCCTCATTAATTCATTCTTAAGCATGCATTACACCACCTTAAGTATATTAGCTCTTTGTCTTCAGTAATAATCAGTGATATTCTTTAGTATTCTGTCGGGCAGAATATTAACTATTATAAACAAGTAACTAAATGTATTCTATACCACAAATTATTTATATAAGATTAATCCTTAAAAATTACTATGCCTTTTTGGTTAGAGCAGAACATCTGATGAAATATTCTTGTGTAGATCCTTTTAGATAAGCGTAAGAGCTAAAGTATGTGATAAACAACTGAGTATCTGAAATGGTTGTACTTTGAAAGTTATTCAGGACCTCTTTTGTATCATTCCAAGCAAATGGCTGCCAGTGTGAGGCAGATAGAAACAAATTCTTTTAAGCTTTGCTTTGAACGTAGTGTTAAAAAGATCGAAAAATTGGTCAAATCAGAATCAGATTCTAAAGCTTTTATGTGAATCACTTTGCAAGTATCATTAAAAAAATTAATTGTATACATCATGTTGGGCCTATCATGAGTAGTTTTGCTATTATTTTTCTTTTCCTTTTGGGAAGGGCCTTAGGGATTTCCTGTTTGCCGATTCAATATGTTCAAGAGGATGTAGTTGGTGCTTCTTTTTCCCCTCTTAGAGTTACCGCTATTGACTTCCATGATTGTCGTTAGCCAAAGTTATATGATTTTAATCTTTAAAGTTTTTAATATTGAATCCTCTTTCTCGCTTACTACGAATGTTACGAGGGATTACAAAGTCTTTGTGGGTGGATATAGTTGAATGTATGATATAGGTACACCGACGCATAAGATCTACTGACCAAAAAGTGATCTAAAGCTTCTCTCAATTACATAGCTAAAGTTAAGATGAGTCTTTAGTAAAAATGATTGCCTCCTCAAAGTTAAAATTGATTATGAGCATATTTGTTCAGAATTGGAACAAACTTTTTTCCCTTTCATGTTATTTGCAGTATTTATTGATCTAATATTCTTCTTTTTATTTAATGTGCAGTAAGTGTTATTTATAGTTGTATAAAGATGAAGTTACTTTCTCATCTATAATTTGGTTATGTAGGATAAATTGTACGTAAATATGTATCATTATCTGTCACTTACCTCGTGCTACTTACAACTACGTGTGCATAGTTTATTTTCAACATGCACATTGTTTCGCATGCTTTTACCTAGATAAAAAGAACAAAAATCAAGTCGTTTTGTCTCTTACCCACTAAGTTTTCCTCGTATTGTTTCTCTGTGTTATCCAGTTTTGGCGCCTCAATTGCACAAAGTGTCTTTTCGTAATTGCATTCGACATCAACTGCTCATTATTCAGGTTACATTAGTTATAATATGATAAGTGGAACGGTGAAACTGCTTTATAAATAGAATAACTTTGCTAGAACTTTATGTCTTATTAAAGTAGCTCTCAAGTTTATCTGTTTTAAAGATTGCTAAACTGCTGAAATTACAGATGCCGGACGATAAAACAACCATAGCGTCAACAAGCTGCCCATCTAAAAAGAAGCGTCAATACTCAACAGAAATAATATCTAAAATGAAGCTTCGACGACGTGAGCTGTACAGACAACTATCATTTGATAAAAAAGAATCATTTTTATCACAACGATGATCAAAAGAGTTGAATCAAAAAGTCAGTGCCTACCGCTTGATTCCACTAAAGAAGGGTCATCCTTCAAAGCTGAAGTTGACTTGCATAGGAAAAGAACTCTCACAATACGCGAGCCATGTTCTGTTACCGAGATAGGTAGGAAACCAAAAAGATATAATTTTTACATGATACAGACTAAGTACAAAGACCCAGTTATACGTTCACATAGTCTTTGTATATACAAATATATGAATGCAAATGTGTGTTCTTTTTCATGACGCTACATAGATATCATTTTATAACTCTTTATATGTTTTGATACTATATTAGCCGATATATCTTCAGCTGCTGAGGCGGCTGCTGGGCTGACTGGTGGCTTTGGCAAAAGAAAGAATCTTACTGACCACTTCTTCGTGTTTGAACTTGGTAATTCGGAGGAAATATCTTGTTTAAATTTGAATACTCTCTTTTCTAAAATATTAATTATAACTATTTGTATATTAGGTTTAACATCTGCTGCAACCCATGAACGACATGATGCACAAACATTGGCTATCCCAAACAAAGGTTCGTCTCAACTAAATCTTATACCAACACCCACTACTAATTTCTTCTCAACAGTAATGGTATCATCTTCTAACACTGCTTAGATATCATTTTCTAACGCTTTATATGTTTTGATACTATATTAGCCGATATATCTTCATCTGCAGAGGCAACTGTTGGGTTGACTGGTGGCTCTGGCAAAGAAAAGAATCTTACTGACCACTTTTCCGTGTTTCAACTTGGTAAGTCGGAGGAAATACCTTGTTTAAATTTGAATATACTCTCTTCTAATATATTAAGTATAATTATTTGTATATTAGGTTTAACGTTTGGTGCACCCTATGAACGACATTATCCACAGACATTGGCTATCCTCAACAAAGGTTCGTCACAACTAAATCTTATACCAACGCCCACTACTAATCTCTTCTTAATAGTAATGGTATAGTTGTTTCAACTAATATAAATAGGTTATAGATCAACAAGAATAGGTTTTGACGTAAACAACTGCCCAATAGTGCAAGTATTTTAAAAACGATACCAAACTGCAAATATTGTGGTGCAAAAAGATTTGAATATGAGCCGCTGGCATTTTGCTGTATTAATGGTTCGGTTAAGTTGACATCACATGAAATGCCTACTGAATTGTTGAATCTCTATTTAGGAAATACTGAAGAATCTAAACACTTTTGCACCTACCTTAGAATGTACAACAACATGTTTGCATTTACTTCACTTGGAGTGAAGTATGATAAAGTTCTAACAAAAAGGAACCATGGAATTTACACATTTAAAGTACAAAGGCAAATGTATCACTTCATAAATGATTTGATTCCGCCAAATCGACAACCACGAAATTTACAGTTGTATTTTTACGATTAACACAGAAATATTGAATCGAATGGCTTCCTCGAGTATACTTAGACAATCAGTTATTGAGAAGCTAATGAATGTATTAAAGATAAATCCTTATTGTATGTTCTTGAAATCTCTGATACATATCCCAGATTTATCAAACTTTTATATTGCGTTGAGGTGCGGTCTTTGCTTAGATCAACAAGTATATAACCTGCCCAGTGTATCGGATGTAGCAACATTATGGCTAGAACAAGAAACAAACAATAATAGCTCTGCACCGCATATTCGAATTCACACTCATAATAATAAGAGCCAGTTAGTAAATTATTATTATGATTGCTATGATCCTTTGCAATACCTACTTTTATTTCCGTATGGTCAAAATGGATGGCATTGTAGTATTCAAAAGATTACCCAACCTGGACATAAACTGCGAAAAAAAGAGCTTAATGTGAAAATGAACAACTTCCATGTGTGTCAAATATGTGTTCAATATATAAATTTTTGAGTACCTTGGATTAAATTGACCTTTGCTTATGTCATAGTCCCTCACTGCACACTTCTAACATCAGCTTTACTTTGTACTCCCCCATGTGGACCCCACGTCCCATCCTACCTAAACCGTCTCTCACCTTTATATTTTTCAACCATTCATATTATTACAATTGTCAATAGTTACTAATTGCTTACACCCATATTAATCTTTTAGCTTGTCGTTCTGTAGAAGAAGTATTATGAGCTGCTTGACATCAATCCTATAAACATGCTGTTCTATGCAAAGATTCAGTAATTGCCATGGAGAATATATCTTTAGGTTTGAGATTGAGGGATCTGGTGCCTTTAGGCTCAACTAGAACTTGGATCCATGCTAATTAGTTTGTAGTAGTGCTGTCAATGTATCATGTGAAACTGAATGACTTCAGCATTGATCTACTGTTTTCCACACCTAGATGACAGGGGTGATGATAGCTAGCCATACAACAGCAGAAGTAACCAGTAACATAATTTTGATACCTTGATTTAATCATACTTTTTTTAAGTGTTTAATTTAATACAATATATCACAAAATGTTGAAGTTTGGCAAATTTGTCCCACATCGGTGGGCTCTTGAATTTTGGGGGGATTTCCCCCTTATAAAAGAAGGCCTAATGTTTAGGATTTAAACACACCTCTCATTTGCCTTCTCATCTGTTTAAGGCATTTGTATCTTCTCTCTTTAGTATTATTTCACTTGTATTTTTGGAGTGGAATAAAATATTGGTTGTGTCCGAGGAGTAGGCAAAATTAGCCGAACCTCGTAAATTCTGGTGTTCCCTTTATTGTTGCTTTATTGTCTTATTTATTATTTGGTGGCTGTCATAATTTTTGGTATAGTAGTTGTGACTTATTCACACTATATACATTTGGCTTCCGCAACAATTGGTATCAGAGCCAAGGTACTGTCTAAGTATGCTCTGTGGTTGCAGCATAGTCTGATCTTCCACATCAGAAAAGATTTATCTTGGTAACTGAGTCAAGGTTCTGTCTGAGTATGCTCTGTAGTTGCAGCTTAGTCTGATCTTCTACATCAGAAAGGAAATAATCTTGATTTGTGTCGTCAGCTATTAAATAATATTTGTGTCAAATATGGGAGACAATAAACAAGAAGAATCTACATCAAGTGTCAACAATACGTCATCATTGGCATCTTCGCTTATGACAAGAATTGTGTCAAATGCGAAATTTGCGGTAGAAATATTTGACGGGTCCGGACATTTTGGGATGTGGCAAGGCGAGGTTCTAGATGTCCTTTTTCAACAAGGGCTAGATCTGGCCATTGAAGAAAAGAAACCAGATGTTATTGGAGAAGAAGATTGGAGAATTATCAACCGTGTTGCTTGCGGTACCATTCGATCCTACCTTGCTAGAGAGCAGAAATATCCATACACAAAGGAAACTTCTGCAAGTAAATTATGGAAAGCACTGGAGGATAAATTTTTGAAGAAAAACAGTCAAAATAAATTGTACATGAAGAAGAGACTGTTTCACTTCACCTATGTTCCTGGTACCACGATGAATGAACATATCACCAGTTTCAATAAGTTGGTCACAGATTTGCAAAATATGGATACAACTTATGATGATGGTGACTTGGCCTTGATGTTGTTGGCGTCACTTCCTGATGAGTACGAGCACCTTGAAACTACTCTACTCCATGGAAATGACGAAGTTTCTCTCAGAGAAGTTTGTTCGGCTTTGTACAGCTATGAACAAAGAAAGCGAGAAAAACAGAAGGGCGGAGAAGGAGAAGCACTATTTGTGAGGGGTCGTCCTCAAAATCAAACGAGGACAAAGAAGGGAAGATCCAAGTCAAGATCCAGACCCAGCAAAGATGAATGTGCCTTTTGTCGAGAAAAAGGGCACTGGAAGAAAGACTGTCCGAAGTTGAAGAATAAGGCCAAATATAACAATGGAAAGGCCATTATGGATTCAAATGTAGCTGATTGTGATGATTCAGACTTCTCATTAGTTACAACAGAGTCATCAACATCATCAGACATATGGTTGATGGACTCGGCTTGTAGCTATCATATGTGTCCCAACAGGGACTGGTTCGTGGAATTTCAAGAAGGAGAATATGGAGTCGTCCACACAGCGGATAACAGCCCTCTTACCTCATATGGCATTGGTTCAATACGATTAAGGAACCATGATGGAATGATCAGAACATTAACAGATGTTCGATATGTACCGGATTTGAAGAAGAATCTCATCTCTGTGGGAGCCCTGGAATCAAAAGGGTTCAAAATCATTGCAGAAAATGGAGTGATGAGAGTATGTTCCGGTGCACTAGTGTTAATGAAGGCTAATCGGAAGAATAATAATATGTACCACTATTGTGGCAGTACAGTTATTGGGACATCGACAGTGACATCCAGTGACGACAAAGAGGCAGAAGCAA